TGCTTTAGGGTTTAGAGTTTAGAGGTGGTTAATCCTCCAGCCCTACAGCCCTAAGGCCTCTGAATCACTCAGCGAAAATAAGAAACCCTACCTGGACCCTAAAACTATGTAGAACAATAGCCTTTTATAGCTTTTGGGCCATTATCGTACCTACTTTTGGGGGTTTAGGTAAACCCCAAACACTAACAGTCTGCCATGAGACTCTTGAGACTGCTCGCAGGTCGCGAAGAAAGTCTCGAAGACTTCCATCTTGAAAGCCGAGCAGGCATCCTTGAGGGATTCTGTGAGGGCTCTTCAGTGGTCAGCGGTTTACATTTGGGTTTGGTTCTATACGGGTTTGATCAAGGCCAAGGATTTCGGGATTCTAGACAGAGTTCGACAAGGGTTCGACAAGGGCTTAGGCTTAGGGCTTCGGCATTCTAGAAAAGGCTTTATACCGGCGTCCTGGCGAAACCATCTTCATTATGGGATTCGAGAAAGGAGGGTTCTGCAGAGGTTCTATGTGGGTGTGGGGTCTGCCATCGACTCGCATGTTCGGTATTCGGTAACGGGGTCCGCAAGAGTTTCGGATCATGGGGCTACATCTTGTGGTTCTCTGGGCTCTTGTGGACCTGTTGCTTTTTTCATTTTCCTTGGTTCAGAGTTTGAAGACTCCCTCTGGGAATGTGGGTCTGAAATTCAGTTCCTGGTGTCACGGCGACTCTGTGTTGGGGATTAAGAGTCACGGGCTCTTGGTTTTGAAGGGCCAGGTTTAAGGGTTTAGGGATATTGACGGCTTTCGTTTCAGCGAAGGCCACGATCGACAAATCAGCCTACGCAGAGACCAAGGAGCCCACATCTGGGTTGAATAATACCCCAAAAGTATGTAGAATAATGGCCTTTTAGAGGTTTTGGGCCATTATTTTACCTACTTTTGGGGGGTCTGGGTAAACCCTACACCACATAAGCCAACACCTCTAAACAGATAGAGACCCTTGTCACCGGACCACTATACAGAAGCCAACACTCACAGGGGAAAAGGAGGGACCCTTAATGGGGACCCCTACCCTATAATGGGCTATATAATGGGTATATAATAGCTATATTAAGGGTATATGCCTAGGGGTCCTTATTAAGGGTCCCTCCTTTAACCCTTGGAAACACAGCATCCTAAAAGCGTGCACTTGCAAGACCAGGAGGAGCTCAAAGCTGGCTGGGTTGTCGAGGAATCCAGGAACTCAGGACTTTGGCCTACCGGAAATGCAACAGTTACTATACTGAACTTAGAACCCTAGCAAAAATTACAATTTTAGCTGTTTCTTAGGGATTATAATAACGAAAAATTTCACAATTATTTCTAAGTACCCCTAAGGTTAGTGGGTATTAGGATAGGGCTCGCGGTTCATAGGCATCCGCAGGTGTGATTTAGGGGCGTCTTTCAAGCAAATTAAGGTTCAACACAAGGCATCAAGTTTGGGAGGCGCGGGGTTTAGGTTAAGCTTCATCGTTCTAGCGGGCCGCCCGGTTTATCCCATCCGCGCCTCATCCATTCGTAAGAAAGACTGCAAATGGTTCATGTACACCGCAGATAGCCTGAGAGGCCCCTAGGAACGTCAAAGGCTGGGATCACTCATCACGCTGAGGCGAGAAGATTGCAATGCTACTCAATGCAACAACAATCAAATTCGGAAGTTCCATCCGCGGTCTTGAAGCAAAAACCTGGCTCCAAAACCTTCCAATTTATGCTTACGTCGGTAACACTCAACCGAATCAGCTACTCTAAAAACTTCATTCCGATTTCTCGCCACATAGCTAGATAAGGCCTACAATGGACCTAAACCTTAGAAGCGCAAACTCCTAAATCCCTGACCCCGGAGTGCCGAGGCGCAAACCTCTATACCCCCAAATACCCAACACCCTAACCACCAAACCCCTTCAACTCCAAAACCCTGCAGCCCCAATAAGCTTTTGGAACCTATACACAACTGTGCTCAGGCCCATACACTAAGCCTGACCTTGTTGTAGAACCTGTTTAGATCCCTTACGGCGTTATGGAACCCTGACGGGCACCCTGATGTAGAGCGTCTGATAAACGAACCTCTTTTGCTAAAAAGCCTCGGCATTACGATCCCTACTGTAATATCCCTTTGAAGGCGTTTCTTGGGGGCTATATGATGAATAAGTACACGCGCCTACATAGAAAGGATCTCATGGATCATGAATGCTTACATGCGGAGATTCTGAGTGTAAGGCCCCTAACTTGACTTCTGAAGACCACAGCTTGGAGGAGTAGAGCGGCTGGAGCTACAGAGGCACCTCCCCAACCACCCTACTCTGGAGCCAATAATTCCAAGAGTTCAAGACCAAGAGGGTCCAGATGTACTACTTAGAGGCCCAAGGGACTTAGTAAGTATGTAGGTTATAAGTACGTTTTTTTTTGGGCTCTAGGGCCTCGAAGACTTGTAGTATGTATGGACCCTCCGGGAAATGCCCTGCAGTTCCTGAGGCCTTGAAGCCGATACCCACTGTAACGCTATGGCCCTGATGCCCGGAAACCGAAAAACCCAACTCAGATCCGGCACATCTTAACATCAACCCTCAAGCTTTAAACAATTAAACCATGAACCCCAAACCCTCTCAACTGTCCCAGTGACGGCATGCCTGTCGTTAGCCTGTGCTCCACGCCATCCCAGAACCAGGACCATGCCTTTGTGGAGACACTACCGGGGTTTAGGGTTTAGGGTTTACTACCGGCACTTGGGGGAAGAGTTCAGGAAGCAAAGTAATAAGTAAGGACTGCTAGGACGGACTATAGAGGAACTCTTGCAACTGCGTCTCCACTAAGCAAAAAAGTAAAGCTGTGTGCGTCACGTTACGGGTTTCCATAGGGACCCTTAGGGGAGTAAGGGGAGGGGGTAGGAGACTATACTTCCTTGTATGGGCCTTACTACTCAGAGAGCCCAATACCCCTTAATTAAGGAATATGGCTTAAATTATAAGGGGCTTCATATTATGATTTAAGCTATATTGCTTAATTAAGGGGTATTGGGCTCTCTGGGTACTAGGTCCTTATTATGGGCAGTGAGTTCCCCTCCCCCTACCCCCCTAGGGTTCCTTAGGGGTCCTGGGCCTAGGACATAACAGAAAGGCTGAATGTAAGTGCCTTCATAATTCGAATATGGCTCCATTTAACAGGTTCTCCACAAGGGATCTAAATGAGGCCGTATCGTAGCTGAAAGGGCAGTCTAGGTTAAGGCACCAAAAGACCACATAAACACAAGGATGCTGCATGTCCGTGGCTTAAAAGAGGGGTCTTGGGCTCCTTTATATTATACTTATGATAAGGGGCCGCAAAGCAGTAATGGCAATTATTCAGGCCCCTATATTATGGGGTCCGAGAGGAGGCCACAAGCCGGAATCACTTCAGCTACGATGTCTTCAGAGCTCAAGTTTCGACAGTTGAGTGCGGTTGAAAAGCGCGCGATTACATACACGGGATACTCGGGAATCTGGGTGGTTCGGGTTGAAGTTTGAGGGGCTTTTGGCTTCGGCTGCGCTTTGGTGCTAGCAGTAGCAGACGGTGCATATTACAGTTGCTCTGCGGATAGGGAGTGTCATCCAGAGAGCCTTGATCATGTCTAGCATACGAGGTCGTCTAGCGGGTCGTCTAGGTTGCCATGGGAATTTGCTCATGTAGTGGCCGCCAAAGCTTTCACTTACTTCCTTGGCCTGGCAGGGTGTAGCAAATTACGGCGACTGTAAGACACCTTGGTACAACACAATTACTTGTAGGGTATTAATGCGTTTCGTGTTTGGGAGCTGCACAGTAAAAGCATCTGCAGGCGCTGTTCGGGATTGAGGTGCGGTTTGGACTTCTTCGGCCATCGTCTCGCCATAATCAAGTTGGAAAAATCGTTCTATTCTAATTCACTCTAGTCGCCCTAGATCCGAATCAGACTGAATATGAAGAAGGCACATTCTCGTGCTCCATGTTCCATTGTGACGGCAGTAGCGAGCGAAGTGAAGCAAACATCACCTCTGCACTGATGGACATTGTCATCGTGTTCTACCCTAAACCCTACATTAAACCCCTTCGCATTCTAGCGTCTGCTCGAGAACTGTGGGGTCCAACAGGCCTTTCCCACCAACGTTCCCACGACCGCAGCCCCAACATCAAGGAACCATCTCAGGATTGAGGGCCAGAATTATACGACACTTCCAGCAAGTTTCCAGCATTTTTCGGGGCGTTGAGCAGGGGGGGGGGTTTCCTGCAACAGGTCTGGAACAGAGTCATAGGGTTGGCGCACAAGGCCCGCATTCCGGATTTTCTTAGACTGAGGACCCTACAAATCCGGGGTCTAGGATCGCGCATTTTTGGCTTCCAATGACTGGGTTGCGGATGGGGGTCTGGCCTGAGACGCGGGCAAGACAAAAAAACACCTGTTTTGAGAAGCCGATACACTCAAAGAAGTAATAGTAATAGTAATAGTAATAACTAAAGGACCGTCGGGCCATGCCGAGCCTGCTTGAAATTGTTGAGGTCCACCTGCGGCGGGCTTGCCGTTCTGAAGCAGGGCTATGTATGCATTAGCAACATACGGACCGACTAAATACCAACAAACAATCGCCACTACTCTGAGCCATGTTGCGGTACGTTGGATCCTTAGGGCTGTGGCGAGGCTCAGGATTTTATGGCTTTCTTAATCAGAATTCCACGACGGTGGGCATAGGATTCTGGTGTACGATCATTGTTGATAATTACTGCCCTTATCTCTGATGTATGCAGTACTGTTCTTACGTTCGTTGTAATACAGCCAGGGAATGGGACGACATTCAGGGTTAAGGCATGTAGGGATTTACCGGTTGAGGAGGTTTGAGGTGTAGGTGGCACAAAGACACGGTTCGAAGTCTCTACTCTGTGTTGCCAGTTCAAGCCAGTGACCAAGGTGACCAAAGCCACTACTGTGTCTTAGTGGCTGCCACTCCCGCCGAATTCTACCAGCCTGCTTGCGATCTTCAGGTCAAGATGGTCGAAACCCAAAACCAGCCTGTTCAAAGTGGACCAAAGCCAGGCAGAGCAGGTCGCACTCTTCCTGCAGCCTGGAGATGTTTCCACAATTTGGAACGAGCGCTCGAAGAGACTGGAGCATTTCCTTGGCTGCGGCACTGTCATTGAATCTCCCTGGCCTGAATAGAACTGGTGTACCTGCGCTCTTCAATACTTCCGGGCTTTGGCCAACCAGCCGTATGGCTACGATCCTATAGTCAAGATACCCACGCCAACAGAACAAGGAGACTAGAGGTAGTATGCTCCTTAAAGGATTTGGGCGCAGGGTTTGTGACCTGCCCTATCATTGAAAGCCCAGTTACCTATGTCATGGGTCGCTGTATACTGTGGTCAACACTGCAGTCATCTTAAGCCAGAGATATAATATGTAAATGGAAACATCCACACTTATAAACGTACATGCATACATAACAAACATAAGACAACATAACATAACATACAATGCATTAACTCGTGCATACATGCCAGCATGCATGCATACATACATACCTACATATGTGTATATTATATATATATATATATATATGCACACACACACTATGCCTGTATACATACAAAGTAGTATATACAAAAAACAGAAGGACACGTATTGGCCGAAGGCCGTAATCGACCTCCTGGGCAATAGAATAAGGAGGTTCCAACTTATAGACATCGGGGGAAACAATCGCCGGCTGACGAATGTAAGGGGTTGCAACCTCCTGGTAGGCTTGACATGGCTTGATACAGTGGCTGTAGTTGTATCATGATTCAACTGTTGCGCATGAGTTCGCAGCCACTTCCAAGCCTCCAAACCCTAATTCCCCCCAAAACCCTACAGCACCATGCAGCCCTAATCCCCTAACACATTAAAACGCAACCCCGTGCCATCATTCCCCCGTTTTGACATGCAGAATCACTTTCCGTCTCTCTGTATAAAGGCCAAGCCACTTCGAACCAGAGGTTCTCGCTCATGTTCATCACAGAGGCCTGGGCGACTCTTGGAGACTCCCAGAATAAAAGGTAGTTGCTGGGGTTCCGCCTTAAGACTAAATGTGAATACTCTTATAACTATAATACTGAATTAGATTGAAAACCCGGTAAATCTTGTTCAAGATCAGCTCAGAAGCATTGAAAAGGACCATGTCGTGGAAGGAGCGTGGCACATGAACAGATCCTGCCATCGCAGCTATACCTTAAATCACATTAGGGGTCCTACTATAGTTAAGGTATATTCCTCAACTGATGGATATTGGAAGGTCTGGGCATCTGCAGACTTCAAGTAGTAGAGGATTTCTAGGAGCTTTTGCAGCCGCACTTCACCTACACTCATGGCAGCTTAGCGCATTCGGTGATGGGGTGGAATGACTGTAGTCAAGGACGCCCTGGCTAGGATTCCCCAACTAGGGCACCAAAAGGCACAAATCCCAAGCCTAGGCCCTTCAGGTTGGGCAGGAAGTTAATTTAGGATTTTTGTTCTGTTTATTTGTTTTTTTTGCTGTGTGCTTGGCCTAAAACATAGGACAGCAGCTTGTTTTCCTGCGTTTTACCCGGGAAAACACTATTTTCCGTACATTTTGGACGGAATTCTGTGCTCTTTCCTAGGAAAGACACTACTTTCCTACGGATTTGTTGTTATTTCCTTCGGTTTTGCTTGGTACTTCCCTTGTAGTTGTGGTCGTCGTAGTAGTAGTAGTAGTAGTAGTAGTAGTAGTAGTAGTAGTAGTAGCAGTAGTAGTAGTAGTAGTAGTAGTAGTCGTTACAAATAAAATGCAAATTTCATAATTTGACATAACATACACAAAATAGTCAAACTAATATAATATTATACAGTAGAATAGAATAGAATATGATATGATAAAATATGTTTCCCTTTTTTAAAATGAAACACTATAATATAACATGTAATGTGCTAACAGCAGTAATGAAACATAGCATAATACATTATAAATTAATCTAATATAAAATAACATAAAAACGTAACATAACATAACAAAATATGGCACAATGAGGCATATAAATCATACTGATACAATGGAATAATGTTCCGCAATACAATGTAACATTATCTTATCATGTAATGGAATGTGATATAATATAACATAGAACAATACAGTATGTAATATAACACAAGTTAATACGATATCCTGAAATATAGAGTATAACATGATATGATATGATATGATATAATATGAGATTTTGCAGAGCTACTAGTGAAGTTGAATGGTGGGGAACAGCAGCCCGCAAGCCTAAACCCTCAACCCTAGAACCCTAAACGTAGAAATACACCCAAACTCATGACATGTCGGGGTATTGAGATTCCGACTCTGATCTTCGGACCCGAGGCCAGGCAGTTCTGCATTCAGACGACTGCGCGCATTCCCATATTCTGTGTTTCATGGCACAACACGGGAACGAGTTTCATGCTCCACCACCATGAAAGCGAGAAGTCCTCTCGAATCCTAATCCGAAGGGCGCCTGAGACAGCTCCACCAACTTCTTAAGGGGGCCCTTACGCTTCTCGTCTGAAACCAATCCAAACACCCTAAAAAACACAAAGACGAGTCGGGCCAAAGCTTAGGGCGTTTAGGGATTTGGGTTTCGGACTCTGTACCCTAGGGCTCCTTAGTAGTTCCTTTTTGGGGTTCATATATAGAATCCTATAAGGTAATCCCAAAAAGGAACTACTAAGGAGCCCCAGGGTAATGTCTAAACCCCAACCTCGCCAGAACCCTCCAAGCCCTCATCTCCTGCATTGCCCAAGCTCTTCCTGTGCTTACGCTCCCCGGACTTCTCGCTGACCGTCACAGGTCCGTTGTCGTCACTCTCGGGCTCCTCTCTGGTGCTCGTTTAGAGTTTAGAGGTCCGAAAAGTGTATTACTTGCAGTTGTTACCTTATGCCTTATGCAGGGTTCAAGGATTTGCGGATCTGGGTGCGCGGGATTGTTTTTTTTTAGAGGGGCTCCTTCTCATCAGGGGAGCCAGGAGAAACTGGCGAATCAACGTCTATCTTCTCGCCCTCTGTATGTTCCAAAGCCGCCCAGCTGGTGCGAAGGATGCGAAGCCGTGTCTCGAACTTCGTCCGGGTGCGAAGCCTTGGCTTCGGAGGTTATATACCATATATAGCTGCATCGAACTTCACTTCTCTCCGGTGGCTTGCACCATCTTCTTATAACCCCTTAACAGGCTAAAAGTCTACCATACTCGTCAACTTGGGATGGTACTAACATGGAAACTCATTGAATCTAAATACCCACACAGATTTAAAATGTTAGCCAACCGTGAGTTAGCGAAACAGTATACTACTACTAATTTAAGCTCACGTTTTGTTATAACAAAAAAATAGAACATAAACCCTTAGAGCAGTACATATGACAAAGCTAAGAAGCATCGTACCCAAATGGTACATACTTAGGCCCCAACGTACCTATACAGGGACTACTTCAAGGTACATGGACCTTAGGGAACTATAACGTTAATGTGGGGGCCTTAATAAAGAATAGGGTTTTCATACTATAACTATAATAGGGAACCCCAGAGTAGTATAGGTCATTATTTAAGCCCCTATATTACCAACTATGACAAAGATAAGAAGCATCGTCCTGCCCATGGAGTCAATGAGCATGGAGACGCCGAACTGAAACTCGGGCGTCAAGAGGGCTCCGAGCTTCTTGCCGCAGAGCTCCTAGGATTAGAACTAAGGGTCCAAAGGACCCAATAAGAAGGTACTTGGGTTTGGGATAGAAGTTATGGAGGTCACTATTTTGGAGAGTATATGATTATTAGGTACTTGGACCCTTGGGATAGGGGGTTTAGGAGTTATGGGCTTTTGGGGCTTAGGGTTGAGGGGTTGGGGTTTAAGGGTTAGGTTTGAGGGGTTCTGGGTTGTTTTGAGGCTTAGGGTTTAGCCGGGGTTTAGGTTTTCGGGGCTAGGGTTTCAGCACTTCTGGATTTGGGGGTCTGTAGGGTCCCATGCTGCTCTTGTGGCCCAGCTTGAACCCTGAACTCCAACCCTAGAACCTTATAAGTTGTAGACCCAAACCCCAAGCGGAACAGCCCAGGTGCAAGAACGGCTAGACCCTAAACACCCAAACCCATCACTTGTAAACCCTGCGCCCTGAACTCTAAGCCCCCTAATTAGACTCCTACTATTTGCTTAAGAAACCCCCAAAAAAAGAAAAATAATAATCCCTATGTTACCCCCATAAGGAATATATTTTTTACTTTTTGGGGGTTCTTAAGCAAATAGTAGACTCATCACCCCAATTGGAACGGCCTAGGGTCAAGGAGGACAGACTTGAAGCTGTCCACGTCCGACTGCTGCAACGCCACGCTCATGTGTCGGAGAGCACAGAACCTGCCGTTCTTAGGGGTTCTGTGGGTTTCGACTCGCACACTCGCACAACGCAGGCACGGCTTCATGAGGTGAGTTTTGGGTTTGGGGCTTAGGGTTTTCATGGATTGAGGGTTCAGGGGTTTAGGGTTGAGGCTGCCTTGGTCGATTTCTGCAATCAAAGGATCCAGCCGTGTGAGAGGTGAAGGGGTCTTGTACTGGCTCTTTTTGAAGGGTACTACAATCATTAGCGACTTCCAAGTTGATTTTATGGGACTTGATACTCTAGATCCCACTAACCCCTGAACACTTATTAAAGAAAGCGCCCTCCGAGATGCTCTTGGAATAGGGATCTGGTACTATTTGGTGTCTATGCTGGGGCCGAAACAAGAAAGAAAGCACCCCCAAAACCTGAGCCCACGGAAAACAGGCCACCATGTTCGACAACCTATAAACGCCTACATGGGACCCCTTAAAGGAGCCCCCTCAAGTAAACCAACAAAACCCGCTGTGAACCCGTAGCGGACCCCTGTGTTCATAGAAACGGAAAATGGGCCTGATAGTTATACACTTTTACCCATACCCAGAACCGGAAAATTTTAACCTTATTGAACACCGAAAAAGAAAACCCTAGACCACCAAATATTAACCCTAAGCCCGCACCTAAAACCATAAAACCTGAAATCTTAGCCGTGTTCACGCCCTAAACAAATAATAAAGGGGCTTTAATAACTAGAATGGGATCTTTGGTGCCATTGTACTCTATCTATCATAAGGAACCACCAAAACATCAAAAGAGTATATGTAATTCTTAAAACAAAAGCCCCTTCAATAATCCCTTTTATAATTTCTTAGACCCCAAACCACGCGCCAAGACGCTCCATCGAGTCCCTCAGCTGGTTCGCATCGCCCAGCCCTGCAATGAGCCTTAGTGGCTGAGTTCATAAGCCCCTAAAAAGCCCAAAGGGTCCAAGTAATGGTATAGTATACACTTTTGGGGCCAAAATACCTACTATAATGGTACTTGGACCCTTTGGGAAGTATACACTTTCAGTTTAATAGTGGGTAATATTTTGCCAAAAAGTGTAAAGTGAATCCCCCTCAGCTACTAAGGAGCTTTCCGAAAGCCTCCCAGGCGGTGTGCGCGCGCTTCCTGGGATCGAGGGGCACCATAACTAAGGCTGCCTTTAACGCGTTTTGCCATATAAACGTTCTATGAGGGTTACTATCAGGGTTGCATAAGAACTCTATGCAGGGTTACTTAAGGGTTATGACAAGCATCCTCTAAGCGGTCTACATGGGCTCTTCGTGCGATACATGAAGTTTCGAGAATGTTGTAAGGGATGCTACAAGGGTTCGATGATGGTTCGAGACTCGGGAATCGGTGGTTTCGGGGTTCCATAGAAGAAAGAGTTTGTCGAATTCCCTTTTTTGAGGTTTTCACGTCTCGCAACCCGCCCTAAGCAGGTAAGGCCTCACATCAAGTCGAAATGCCTAACCCTGAACCTCTAACCCCTTAACCCCTTCGGCTGAAGGCCGAAGTCACCTTGCGCTGTGCCCGCGCCACAGACAGCCAAAATTCGAAGACAACCAGTAATCAGCCAGAACCCCATGCAACATTACCAACACAGCAGATGGCTCGAGGCGGGTCCAGTCTGAGGCGTTAGGGCTTAACGTTTTGGCTTTGCTCGGTTTAGGTCTTCCGACTATGCTTTTGTGCATCAGGGTTAGGTTTAGGGATTTTGTGGTCGAGTCTGTCAAGTGGGGCTTCGGATGTGCTGTGCAGAGCAGGGTGCAGAAACCTAACCCCGAGCACGAAACCCCAAGACCCCACCAACGCTGTAGTTCCAGTTAGAGAAACCCTTGACAGATCCCTAAACCGGTAGGTTGATGTCTGTATACATATGCCATTGTGTGCATCTGTGCTCACAGTGACATATTAGATAGTTAGATAGATGGAACGATCGACATACAAACAGCTCGAACGAGAGAGAGAGAGAGAGAGAGGGAGAGAGAGAGATAAACAAACACAAATAGGCGTAGGTGCTCTGTCTACGTATGTTTGTGTGCAAGAGAGAGAGAGAGAGAGAGAGAGAGAGAGAGAGGGAGAGAGAGAGAGAGAGACAAAGGGAGACAGAGAGAGAGAGAGAGACAGAGATATATCTATATACACATGCATTAGACATTTATGTATCTATGTATCTGTGCATGCATGTATGTATGTATGTATGTCTTCACCGTGGATGTAATTGTTCATGTGATTCTTTCATACATAGAGAGACAGAGATGTCTGTAATCAAATCATACCTGCGAGGATATGCGACGTACTTGTCCGCACAGCGACTCTGAAACCAGAAACAACACGGCCAAAACCCTAAATACATCAGACGCCGAACCCCTAAACCCTAAACCCCAAGATCAAGGAATCAAGGCAAAGCTTCAACATCGGCGCAGATCTCGGAGCTGAGGACTTGAAAGTTTCGAAGAACTCCAAATACGCGCCCTTCTGCTCCATGATCTTCCAACCTGTACGGTTGCGGAGTCAGGGTGTATATAGGGTGAACGTCCAGGCTCCAAGGCTTCGTATTTTGATGTTTTGACGCGAGCCGTGGGGGGCGGGGGGTTGGCGTAGCACTCCCGCCCGCGTGGATGTTGTCGTCGTCGTCGTCCAACTGTTCCCGCTCAGCTTCGTGTCATCATCACAGCGATGGCTTGTTTCTTCAAACTTGGTGCTCGTAGTTTGCGCTAAGCACAAGTGGATTAACCCACATGCTGCCTCCCAAGACTCGCAAGTATATTTCTGAATTAGGTGGAGAGGCAGATCGAGTCATCCACAATACAGGATACATTGCACGCAGTAGAAGAACAACCTGTTCAAACCCCAGGCCAAGTACAGGGGCAGCCACCGCACGACCTATTCCTCAGACCAAAGCGGCAAAACTCTTGTTATTACATATTACTATTTTGTTTATATGCAATTCTATTATATAAACTATTTGGAATTAAAACCCGGATCAAAAATCCACAAATCCGGAAAGCCTGGGTAGAACCCGCATAGAACCCTAAATCCGAAGCCCTCGACCCGGTATGGGAGCTGAGGGAGATCGGGTTCAGGGCCTCAGGGGCATGTGATCCTAATATATACATACATATATATATATGCATATAAGATTCCTTCCTGCAAAACTTCTAAACCCAAAAAAGAAAGAGAATGGAGGCCATGGGTAGATTGCGAGAATCCACACACTCGTTTTGAGGGTTGGATCCTTGGGGGCTGGATCAGGGGGGTTTGAAGGCCAAAACCAATTTCCTCAATAGTGCAGTTCAATATACCGATTTAAGGTTTCAAGCTGTTGTAGTATTAGCTTATTTATGTATTTTATTAGGAATTTCAGTGCCGGGGGCACGGCCGTTGACCAAAACATTTTAAAGCACACTGGGAAGCCAGCGTGAGGAAACCCTTTTTTGCCAAACATTTTTGCATTTGTCCAAGCCGGATGTATTGAGCGATGGTGTTCGCTTCTGTCCAAGCCGGATGTGTTGGAAGCTGAAACGTGGTCCTTTGTCACGTGCCACTGCTTGGTTGGCTTGGTTGCTTGGTTGGCTTGCTTGGCTTGCTTGGCTTGCTTGGCTTGCTTGGCTTGGTTCGACTCGCCCTACCCATCCTGCACGCCCCAGCTCAGAGTGGTCTTAGAGACCGCTCCAGTCGGGCTCGGACCACGTGAGCAATGGGTCCTTGATCCGTGCGGGACAGCGTCGCTGGCCGGGCGCTGGGGATTTACTCTGTGTGCTGCTCGCCTGTCCAGCCAGGTGGTGTGTCCGCCGCGGGGTGAAATGCACACAGATTGCAGGGAAGGCCTCGCTACTATTAATAAATACTATGCCACGTACCCACACCACGGTCGAAATATTAACTTCGATCACTGCTGCTTGCCGGCATGGCCCCGCATGGCATCTTATGCTGTGCCTCATTGACAGGTCTTCAGTAACCGGCGCGTCGCGCAGCGATTCCGGTGCACTCGATGACGAGCATGACCTGTCCTCTTGCGGGCCGGTATGCAAGGCAATTGGATTTCAGCGCTCCGCATCTGATTTGCCGGCGCATACTCAGCAGGGTGACCCCATCTTGGCCGAATGGGGGTGGCATTTAAAGAAGTCTCCAGTCCGCATGACTGTCAGAGCACACTCGTGTTTGCAAAGACGCTGGGGAGGCCGTTACTGTGTCGGCATGGCATTGCTTGGCTTGGTTGATTCGATTCTGCAGTGGCATCAATTCTGGTAGCATCAATCAATTGTGGTAGTCAGCATGGCATTGCTTGGCTTGGTTGATTCGATGCTGCAGTGGCATCAATTCTGGTAGCATCAATCAATGTCAATGGTGGTAGTCAGCATGGCATTGCATGGCTTGATTGCTTCGATTGTTGCGGTGGCATCTGATTCGATTTTGCGGTGGCATCAATTCTGATACCATCAGTTCTGGTAGCAGCAACTGTGGTAGTCAGCATGGCATTGCTTGGCTTGGTTGATTCGATTTTGCAGTGGCATCAATTCTGGTAGCATCAGTTCTGGTAGCATCAATTTGTCAATTGTGGTAGCAACAATTGTGGTAGCGCTAATTGTGGTAGCATGATTTGCGGTAGTATAACTATTGTGGTAGCATCAATGGCAAGGTCTGCCTGGCATGTTTTGACAGAGCCGGGGGGGGGGCAGGGCTGGCATGAAATTTGCATTTTGCCAGGTGAAGTCGTTTCAGAAGGCATGTGAGTGATATTTGCGCGGAAGGCTCAGTGAGTGTGTGTGTGTGTGTGTCAGCTTGCTTGGTGATTGATTGTGAGCCCCTTGTAACCTAATGCTGCAGTTCTGGCTCAAGTTGTGCTATGTCGAGTGTGGCCCTCCAGCATCTCCCTGAGGAATTGTGTCTCGAGGAGCAGGGCCAGGATCTCCGGAAAGCACAGCAAGCAATCTACTTGCTCTATTTGCTCTGCCCGAGAAAGGCTGTTGATCTTGTGACACCTGCAGTACATTTCAGACAATTTCCAATTGAGAATAATTTGCTACCTGACATGTCATTGTTTCAATGCAACAACATTTGAGGAGATCTTTCAAACGGGGAAGAGACGGCATCCAGAAACCAGAAGCCTGGATTCTGTCAGCCTGTAACAAGAACGTTAGAGAGCACTTTGGCAAAGATTGATGCAGCCCTTTTTTTTGGCGCTTAAGCTTTCATCATTACAATTCCGTGTTCATTCGAGGCACAATCAAAGCTTGGGGATAGTATACAGCCAATTCGATGTCGGGAACTACGGCAGCAAGAAAGCAGACGCCTCAACGAAAAGTTCCGGTGACTTGGGGCGGGGCAAAGAAGAAGACGACTCGGACGATTGGGGACGCAAGTGGAAGGACCCCGAGAGAAACAAGAGACCACGAACCGGCTATTGATGCTACTGATGACGATGTGAGCTCTATTGACAACCCGAGCTCTTCGGCAGCTGCTTTCTGCTCCAACACTTCGAGGTCAGTTTTCCTGGGCGGCAGAACCTACGTTTGGCCGAAGAGAGTGGTGATCGTTGGTTATGGGGTTGCCCACCATGGAAATCGTCCATCACCTCAGATGGCAGACTTGTTGGACAGGGAATGTAACTTTTCTAACAAATGGGAGGTTCGCTTGCAGCAGTCAATGCACGTGTCGAAGCTTCATGACATTTGTACATTTTTCATTCATTTCAGTTTCACTCAATTGACAATTGAGGGCAGTGACAGTGACAGTCATGGATGGAAGCCAAGGGAGGCCGAAGGAGGAAGGTTTGGCAGAGAATGTGGCCTATACCAGCATATCATGGAACAGGTGCCTGGTCGAACAGGTGTTGCTTCATGAATCGAGTTGTATAATAATTAATTTTAATTTTAATAAGAATTCACCCTAATGACCGAGGTGTATAGTCATCCCGCAGCGCTCAAGACGCTCCACTTCATCCTCAATTTTCCCGACAAGTTGCTCAGGCTTCTCGAGTCTTTGAATGCTGAAGGTCTTGGAGGTTTTTTTTAGGTTCAGGGACTAGGATAATTATAACCCTCCTATGTGGTCCTTCAATTGTCAGGATCTGCTGTTCGGCGGGATGGCACAGGACGTGTGCCATGATTGCGTTGGTCATGGCTCTCTTCCAAGTCGCTGTGCTGAACTGACTCATTGGTCCAGGTGACACTCAATTGTCTAGTTTTTGTAAGTATATCAGCTGTCAGTGCAGGTCTGTGGCATCGAATGCGTCGCATGGTTCGACACTTTAGTCCAGAGGCACAGAAACAAGATCACAGAGCCATCGCTGCCGATCAACAGCACATTATCGACTTCGCCAATGGCCATCACGTGTCGCTGAGCAGCTTCAGATTTTCGAATGTTGTTTTGAGGTTGTAATATGTAAATATTTAAATGCAATCCATGGTTCTGCCAAAGTGTGCATCAGGAAGCAGAAGCATCTCCTGCCGTCCATTGGTTGGTCGTCGGATCAATGGAAGGCAGCATTGCAAAATGCTTGGAACACATGGACCGACCAATTTGCAAATCAGACTGATTGGGCTTCCATTCAGATGTGCCTGGACTCGAATTCCGCATTGATTTGATTTGCAGTCTGCCCTGTAGTGCCAACACGTACCACTTTGACTCAGGAACTTGAAAACAAGAATGGTCAAGGACAAGCAGGAACATCCCGTGGACCTACCTGCCACGACATTTCAGAAGCTTCAGAAGCGAAATCAGAAGACGAAGTCAAGAGGAACTGCTGCAGCAGCAGCAGCTGGGAGCAACACTACATTTTCGCTTCAGCTTCAAGAATAAATAATAACATTTCAGTCACAATTGACATCCTCAATTGAGTGTGTGTGTGTGTGTCGTCTTCAATGCAAAGCATTTGAGGTGCTGCCAGATGCCAAAAGAGCACGAACTGCTCCGCTTGAGATCCCGGAGACAGATGTCGATGACGCCACAAGAGGGGGTGGTGATCCTGCATCCTCCAGTTCTGCTACTCCGGCTTTTGCCAGGCCACCAGTGCCCGCTCCAGAGTGGACCAATGATCCAAAAGCATCACCAGCAAAAAAAACAAAAGCCAGCGCAACAGCATCAACAGACGAGCCAGGGGCAGGACCAAAAGCAGGAGCACCACCAAAAGCAAGACCGCCAGCAAAAAAATGGGCATCAGCAGAAGTAGGGGCAACGGCAAAAACAAAGCCAGCACCTCTTACGAAAAGCATGCCTGCAAAGCCGAAAAAGCCGGCTGCAAAGCCGCCAAAGCCGCCAGTGTCAGTGGTTGAGGTTGATTCTCCAGAGGGTGTGCCGGAACCGAAAGATCCGCCCAAGTCTCGTCCGTTACATCCAAGGGATGCACGTCTGGCAGCAACACATCCAGTTCAACCTGCCTTTCCTCCGCCGGCGCCAGCAAACCCAACACTTCCGATGATGACGGCATGTGAGATGGCTGTTGGGGAATGCTTTCAGACATTCCTAGGTGGTGGTGCTGCACT